TCTGCCAGCAGGGGAGCAGAGAGCTGTGTACCATCAGGAGTGGCCTCACCACCCTGTGCCTGCCCAGCTCTGGCAGATGGAGCACAGAAGCTCCACCTCACCTCCTGATACTGGCTGCAGAGCACAGCAAACTCATCTCTCCTTCATCTTTCACAGGTATTGTCCTCTCAGACATCATAGAGAAGTACTTTGTGTCACCCACCCTCTTCAGGGTCATCAGGCTGGCGAGGATTGGCCGCGTCCTCCGCCTGATCCGAGGGGCAAAAGGCATCCGGACTCTCCTCTTCGCTCTGATGATGTCCCTGCCTGCCCTGTTCAACATTGGCCTCCTGCTGTTCCTCGTCATGTTCATCTACTCCATCTTTGGGATGTCCAACTTCGCCTACGTGAAGAAGGAGTCGGGGATCGATGACATCTTCAACTTTGAGACTTTCGGGAACAGCATGATCTGCCTCTTCCAGATCACCACGTCAGCTGGGTGGGATGGGCTGCTCAACCCCATCCTCAACAGTGGCCCCCCTGACTGTGACCCTGAGCTGGAGAACCCTGGCAGCTCAGTGAAAGGGAACTGTGGGAACCCATCCATCGGCATCTTCTTCTTCTGCAGCTACATCATCATCTCCTTCCTCATCGTGGTCAACATGTACATCGCCATCATCCTGGAGAACTTCAGCGTGGCCACGGAGGAGAGCAGTGAGCCCCTCTGTGAAGATGATTTTGAGATGTTTTATGAAACTTGGGAGAAGTTCGACCCAGATGCCACCCAGTTCATCGCGTACAGCACCTTGTCTGACTTTGTAGACACCTTACAGGAGCCGCTCAAAATTCCCAAGCCAAACAAGATCAAGCTAATCACCATGGATCTCCCCATGGTTGCTGGAGACAAAATCCACTGTCTGGATATCCTCTTTGCGCTGACTAAGGAAGTGCTGGGAGACTCGGGAGAGATGGATGCCTTGAAGGCCACCATGGAGGAGAAGTTCATGGCTGCAAACCCCTCGAAGGTTTCCTACGAGCCCATCACCACCACTCTGAAAAGGAAACACGAGGAGGTCTGTGCTACCAAAATCCAGAGAGCCTTCCGGAGGCACCTGCTGAAGCGCTCGGTGAAACAGGCGTCCTACATGTACAGACAGAGCAAGGATGAGGACACCCCGGGGCAGGATGCCCCCGAGAAGGAAGGTCTGATCGCCACCAAAATGCAGGAGATCTATGGGAACAGTGGGACAGATGTGGAGACAGCCCCTGCCTTTGGCCTCGAGCCCATTCCCAGCTCAGAGACACGAGATGCTCCTGAGGAAGCGAAAGCTTGGGATAAGGGACGTGTGGTGAAAGAGTCGCTGGTATAACACAAGGAGCTTCCACCTCTGGCCCAGCCTGAAGAGACTTCATTTGTATCTCCTGTTCAAGAGCTCTTCCATGCACAGGTTGCTAGGTCTTAGATACTGAGCTAACTTCGGATGTTTCAAGCAGCCACCTCACCTCTCCCAGCAGGATCTCCTCCTCGTCCTGGGCTTTCCAGCTCACTGCACTTGCAAAGAGTTGAATTCTTCCTCTGCTGAGAACTGAATGTGAAATCTGTTGTCGGTGGAAGAGAAACATGTCAGTTTTGAAATGATCTCACCACGGTAACGATGTTTTTCAGACACGAACAAAAGAGTTTGGCTGTTCCTTTCACTTCAAGTAATTATTTATTCATGTTGTTTCACAACGAAGAGATTTTCTTGTCTGTTTTACCTCCAGAGTGAAGCCAAGTTAGGCAGTGAAAGATGAGCCAAGTGAAGTAACATTCAGGACAACTACAGAAAACACAAGGTTTTGTGAACAAAACCCTCCAAAGTCTTAAAGTAGCACCTTTTGAATATTTGAATAAGCTTAATGAGGATTGTTTTGTTACATACAAAGTGCAATTATGTCTTAAAACTTGGTTTGCATAGCCAAAACAAAGCATCTGCAGATATGTTCTCAGGGTTGAATGTCAGATTTTCGAGGTCTCTGAATGTGCATTGAAACCAGAAATCATTCAGGTCTCTGTGGTATGAATGTAAACACTATTTATAGTCATGTTTTGCTCTGGTTTCCCATTTCATCCAGGTTTTGTGGCAGGAAAGCAAAGGCAAGGTTTGGAAAACCTCCTCTGAGAATCCCCAGACCCTGTGCCAAAACCTTCTAGGGTTCCTTGTAGCTCCAAGAGGAATCATCCCATGGGAGCACTCCTGGTTAGTGCTCCCAACGTCCTCTTTGTGAGCATTAGCTAATGAGGTATCCCATAGGAACACTCCTGGTTAGTGCTCCCAACATCCTCTTTGTGAGCATTAGCTAATGAGGTGCATCCCTGGGGGTCAGAGCAGGTGTTGGAATGCTCTTTGCCATGAGCTGCCTCTGTGGGGTCCCTTAAATCCCTCCCAAGCCCCAGGGGCTCAGTGTGATGAGTGTTCCCACCAGGGTGTGAGTCCCAACCTCCTCTGGCAGTGTCCTTCCCTGGGCTGGGGCTCTGGAGAGGCCCTGGTGGCACATTCTGGGGTCCCTGCAGAGCTGGATGGGGCCAGGCAGGTCCTCACCAGGAAAGCTCCCAGCAGAGGAGTGTTTTCCCAGGGGGAAAAGGGTTTTGCTGCTCTTTACACAGGTAGGAAAAAGGAAAGTAGTCAGGAAAAATGACACTGGCACAGGTGGCCCAGAGAAGCTGTGGCTGTCCCAGCCCTGGAAATGCTCAGTTTCAGGCTGGACAGAGCTTGGAGCAACCTGAGCTAGTGAAAGATGTCCCAACCCATGGCAGGGGGTGGAATGAGATGATTTTTAAGGTCCCTTCAACCCAAACCATTCTGGGATTCCATGAAAAACACTCAAAAGGCTCCTAACTCAGCTCTGACCACCTCCTGCCTTCCAAAGGGAAAAAACACCCCGAGATCAAAACAAGCATGACCCAAAGCCTGTTCCAGTGAAAACAAGAGCTGCTCTCCAAGCCGAAGGGTCTGTCTTTTTGTACTGCTGTCACTGCTTCCTCCTCTCGGGCTGCCCTGGCTCTGTGCCGTGCTGGTGCCTCACCTTCAGGCTGGCCAGGAGCTGTGCTGAGCTTGCTGCATCCACATCTGTCTGCTGGGAGGCAGAGCTGGGGTCACTCGGCTCAGCCCATTGCCTTGTGCCTTCATTTCCACGGTGCATAGGGTGATGCTCCCTGGAACAGGAGCCTGAGCTGCTGGAACTGCTGTTTCCATGGGAAGCATCCATGGCACAGCAGTTTCCAGCCTGGATTGTGGTTCACAATCGATGCTGCTTGTCCGTATGTGTCGTCAGTGAGGGGAAAAATGCCCCAGGGCAGGATTTGTGTGAGCTAAAGCCGTTTTTCTTTGTACATTTCTTAAAATAAACGACTGTAAATGATCTGTAATGACGACACCCAATGTGTTGGGGTGTGTTAGGTGGGGGGGAGATGTTTTCTCTGCACTCTGGGGGTGAACTGGCTCTCCCTTCGCTCCAGGGCAAGGTCCTGGACATGCCATCAGCAGCAGAACCTGCAGGTCTCATCCTGCAGGGCTGTCCCCTGGCACCTCCAACCCAGACCCCAGAGCTTCTGCTGTGCTCCTGAACCAGTTCCTTGGTGCTCACAGCACAGTCCTGACTCCAGGAGCTCTCAGAGATGCTGCTGTGGGTTCCACCAAGGTGAGGTGGGAGGAGGTGCAGCCCCCTGAGCTGCCCCACACCACACATGCCCCACCAGCCATCAGGAGCAGAGCAGCATCACAGGGGGAAGGCAGTGGTGGGTGAAGGAGGTTTCTGCATCAGAGTGTGGTCGGAGGAGGAGAAACCTCCAGGAGCCACTGACGTCCCTCGGGACGCTGTGTTTTCGCTCTCGCTGGAACAGCTCGTCCTGGTGTAATCCAAGGTGAGCAGAGTGGCACCAGGCAGGGGCTGCAGGGGAGGTGGCACAGCCCACTGTCCCTGTGCTCCCCCCCTTGCAGGGGAAAGGGCAGTGGTGAAACCCAAACCCTGATGCATAGGGATGGGCTGGGGAAGGTGCAGCTGCCTGGCAGCAGCTCTGTGTGGGGAGCCAGGGTGGTCTGGGGGAAGAGGAATGGGGATATCCCCATGGGACCACCAGCTCCTTCCACATGTTGTGCCACAGGTTGCTGCAAGCACAGGGGGTTTCAAGGCGAGCCCACCTCCTCTGGCCCAGGTCAGTGCCTGGCTGGGGGTGCCAAGGAGCCCCCAGGCAGCAGCACAGGTGATTTGGCCACTGGCACTGCAAACTCTCTCTAGTTTGTGCTACACTCCTGGTTTCACCTCACAGGGCTTTCCCAGGCACCTCCAGCCCCAGAGCCTGATAAAATCCCCTCCAGTGCCTGCCAAGCACATGTACATCCCAATGCCTTTGGCCTGCTGGGATGTCCCAGCCAGGCCCTGCAGCACTCACATCCTGCTCCCTGCACACATCCCCTGTGCTCAGCACAGGTTTGGCATCACCAAGTGCTTTGCAGATGAGCCCATCTCCAAATCTGCTGCAGGCCTGGTCACCTCCAGTGAGTAACAGCACCACAGTGAACACAGCCTGGGGACATGGAGATGGGGATGGACAGTGTCCATGGACATGGGGCTGGATGGTGCCCATGAACACAAGGACGTGGAGGTGGACAATGCCCATGGACACAGGGATGTGGAGATGGACAGTGCTCATGGACACAAGGCTGGGAAGTGCCCATGGACACAGGGACGTGGAAATGGACAGTGCCCATGGACACAAGGACGTGGAGGTGGACAGTGCTCATGGACACAAGGCTGGGCAGTGCCTAGGGCTCAGGCACCTCCTGCCCCAACGTCTGCGGCGCATTCAAAACCAGCCCCGAGGGGAAAGTCCCCAGCGAGGAGGATTTACATGAGCAGGAAAGGGGCTGTCTCCTGTAGCAGCAGCTTTGCCATTTTTAGGTCCTGAGGCCAAGGTGGTGGAGCAGCCTGTGTGTTCTGCAGAAGCCAAGCTGGATGTTTCCAGCTGCGAGTGCTGGAAGATGGCTCATCTGTGCACGAGGCTCCGGGTGCTCCAAGTGAACCTCTGGCTGGTGGCTCTGGTCACAGGTAGGCATCCAAGGGGGTTAGCACTTCAGAGCAAGGACCTGGTGATGTGTCCCTCACTCAGGAGCTTCACCCAGCTCTGCTGTTCAGTGTGTTAGTTTTGAGCTTTGTGCTGGCTGCTCTCGGTCCTGCTCTGTGCTGGAAGTCAACCCTGGGTGCAGGAGAGCCCAGGAGGACCCAGGGTTTGTGTGGCTCTCACAGTGACTCGAAGGAGGCCAGGGGAAGCTCAGCCCACCCGTGGCTGCAATGGTTGGGAGGGGTGTGAGGACTTTAAGGGTGAAGGACCAGCCTGGTCCCTCCTAGAAACACCAGACATGGAGAGCAAAGCCCTGTCCCAGCTGGCCAGAGGCACTGCATGTGACAGGGACATAACCAGGCAAGGCACATCTCCTCAGCCCAGGAAAAAGTGACATGGGGCTGGAGAGGAGACGACACTGCAGAGATGTCAGTGCTGGAGCTGGACAGGGAGGGGAATGCATGGCCAAGCCAGGAGGTGTCTGTGAGCTGCTGTCCAGGGCAGGGGATCTGCAGCAGGATGATACAGCTCAGCACGAAGCTCAGGTTGAGGAATTGAACCTCTCCTTCTCCTCCTTCTTCTTCTTCTTCTTCTTCTGAGGAGGAGGGGGAATTTTGCAGCTGCCCCAACGTGCTGGAAGGTGGTGCAGCCCCCACCTCCGTGCCAACTTCCCCAGAACAGGGTTTGGTGCCTCTTCACCAGGTGGATGGAGCTGGGCACTGAAGCGGGGCAGTAAACAGGGCTGGGGCTTCCTGCCCAGCTGCAGCAAGAGGAACTGAGGCACAGGGGCACTGGAGCTGTGGGCAGGGGCACCCATGGGTGCTGGGGGGTCCCCACCTCACCCCACTTCCTGCACTGCATCCCCCACACACCTGGTGTGTGGTGCCGGGTCTGGGAACCCTCCTGGCAACCACGGGGCTCTGAGCCCAGGGAAGCCACGGCAGGGAAAGTATTTCTGGGGGATTCAGCAAATGGAGAGTGTAAATGGGATTGTCCTCCTTGGCCACTCTCTCAGGACCCTTCTCCTGTCTTGCAGGTGGGATCTCAGCAGACAAGAACACCAGGAACAGCACAGGTACTGCTCAGACCCACTGGGCTCCCTCTGCCTTTGTCCCCAGGGTCCCTCCTGTCCCAACTGGCTGTGTCATGGTCCCAGCAGAGCTGATGTCCCACCAGCCACAGGTTTTCTCCACCACAAAGGCCATTCCCAGGCCATGACCTTCTCTGTGCACATCCCCAGCCCTGCACCTTCCTCTGGGGACTGGGATTAACAGGATGTACAGAGAGAGGGGTGGGAGCAGCACAAAGTATTGGAGTGAAGCTATTCCCACAGAAAATTGGGGTTTCCCTTAAAACGTGTTTTCCCCAAAAGCCTCTGATTTCATACAATCATAGACTATCCTGAGCTGGAAAGGACCCACAGGATCATCAGTGCAACTCTTGCACAGACACCCCAACAATTCACCCTGAGCCTGAGAGCATTGGCCAAACACTCCTGGAGCTCTGTCAGCCTTGGGGCTGTGAGCACTGCCCTGAGGATTCTCTATTTCCACCCCCAGACTCAGATGAGTCACCAAACCAGAGATGAATGTACAGAAGCAATATAACCAATGAAGATGGGCAGCTCTTGGTTTGGGAGGTGCTGGGGGTCTCATGGGTGTGACCTCCCCTGTCCCCTGCAGACAGTGAGTGCCCCTCAGTGCAGCAGCAGCCGCGCTACGTGGCAGCCAAGAAGAACATGCCCGTCCACTTCCTCTGCTACTCCCAGGACGCCTACAACATGCAGTGGTACAAGATGACAGTGGACAATAAGGACTTTTGTGAGCTGCTTCCCAACAACCCTCGCTACAGCATCAAGTGGACAGAGAACTTCGTCAACTTGACCATCTTCAGGGTCACCTCTGAGGACAACGGCGTCTACGTGTGTGACAGAAGGAACATCACGGCAGACCCGAACGAGACGAACTGGTGTGGGACAGAGCTCAAAGTCCTGGGTGAGTGGGAGCTCCCCATCCTGCCTGCACCCCACTCTGCACCTCTTTCCCCTCCAGTCATCCTTCCTCCCTCCATAGGAACCCCATGCCATGCTCCTCTGCCCGTGCTGTGGGACTCCCACAGACACAGCTGTGGATGCTCCATGGCACCACAGAGGTTCTGTTCCTCACTGCCAGCACCAAGCAGCAGGACAACCTCCCTGCCCTGCCCTGCATGTCCATCCTGTAAAAACACACCCCAGGGACTGTGTTCCTCTAAGAAATCCACTTTTTCCCCATCCTGGCTAGCAGTGGGTTCTGCCCAAAGTGTCTCATCCCAGACTTGGTCCCAGAACATAGAATCATATAATTTTAGGGTTTGGGGTGGAGCTCCCATTGCTCCTTGTCCTGTCCCTGCAGCTCCTAACACAGAGTCCTCTGCAGCTTCCCTGGAGCCCCTTCAGCTCCTGCAGGTGCTCTGAGGTCTCCACACAACCTTCTCCTCTCCAGGCTGAACAGCCCCAACCCTCTCAGCCTGTCTTCTTCAGATGCCAACCCCAGGGCAGTTTGCAGTGCTCTGGGCTGTCCCAATGGGGAGGACATGTCCCCCTGGTCCCCTCTCCTGCTCTTGCTGTCACACAAACCTGCAGCCATGGGGAGCTCGTCCCCATTCCCCATGAGCCTGCACAGAGGTGGGACTTGGGCTCTCCCTGTGCTGCTGCTCCCAGGTTACGGCAACATTAAGCAGATCCAGAACAGGAACACTCTGAAAGATGCCATCATCATCATCCAGTCCATTCTGCTTGTCATCTTTATCAGCATCCCCATACTCTTCTTCCTAGACAAGGTAAGTGACAGTCTCCAGTGGTGGTGACATCCCCAGCTGTGGCACTGCAGTGCCCACAGTGGTGTCTTGCATCCCAGGAATGACAGTGCTAGGGATGGGGATGGCATGGCATTGGGTTTGGGGCTGTGGGGTGGCAGCACAGCTAACTGAAGTGGGAAAAAAAGGGGTGGATTTGCCTGTGGAAGCAGTGGGACCTGACCTAGGGGGTCGAGGCTCAGGGCAGTGGATCCTGGTGGGTGACACCAACCTGTGACTCTCCTCTCCATAGGGTGAAGACAAGAAGAGCCCAGAGGAGGACCACACCTATGAGGTAATGTGGCATTAATTACAGGAGAAGCTGTAGAGTTTTAGGGGTTGGGATGGAGCTCAGAGACCCTCCAGCCCCAACCCCTGCCCTGGGCAGGGACACCCACCACCAGAGCAGGATGCTC